TCTTTGATCTTCATCAGTAAGTGCTTCAAGTCCTCTTCATTTTCAGCAAGCAAGGTTGTGTCATCTGCTTAACGCAGGTTGTTAATGAGTCTTCTTCCAATTCTTGTCCCATTCTTCATATAGTCCAGCTTCTCTGATTATTTGCTCAGCATGCAGATTGAATAGGTAAGGCAAAAGGACACAACCCTGACGCACACCTTTCCTGACTTTAAACAACACAGTATTCCTTTGTTCTGTCCAAACAACTGCCTCTTGATCTATGTACAGGTTCCTCATGAGAACAATTAAGTGTTCTGGAATTCCCATTCTTCGCAATGTTATCCATAATTTGTTATGATCCACAGAATCAAATGCCTTTTCATAGTCAATAAAACACAGGTAAACATCCTTCTGGTATTCTCTGCTTTCAGCCAGGATCCATCTGACATCAGCAATAGTATCCCTGGTTCCATGTTCTCTTCTGAATCCGGCCTGAATTTCTGGCAGTTCCCTGTTGATATACTGCTGCAGGTACTTTTGAATGATCTTCAGCAAAATTTTACTTGCATGTAATATTAATGATATTGTTTGATAATTTCTGCATTTGGTTGTATCACCTTTCTTGGGAATAGGCACAAATATGGATCTCTTCCAGTCGGTTGGCCAGGTAGCTGTCTTCCAGATTTCTTGGCATAGACAAGTGAGCACTTCCAACACTGCTTCCGTTTGTTGAAACATCTCAATTGATATTCCATCAGTTCCTGGAGCCTTGTTTTTCACCAATGGCTTCAGTGCAGCTTGGACTTCTTCCTTCAGTACCATTGGTTCCTGATCATGCTACCTTTTGAAATGGTTGAACATCGACCAGTTCTTTTTGGTATAATGACTCTGTGTATTCCTTCCATCTTCTTTTGATGCTTCCTGCGTCGTTTAATATTTTCCCTGTAGAATCCTTCAGTATTGCAACTCGAGGCTTGAATTTTTTCTTCTGTTCATTTGAGAAATGCCAAGCATGTTCTTCCCTTTTGGTTTTCTATCTCCAGCTCTTTGCACATGTCATTATAATCTTTATTTTGTCTTCTCTAGCCACCCTTTGAAATCTTCTGTTCAGTTCTTTTACTTCATCATTTCTTCCTTTTGCATTAGCCGCTCGAAGTTCAAGAGCAAGTTTCAGAGTCACTTCTGACATCCATTCTGGTCTTTTCTTTCTTTCCTGTCTTTTTAATGACCTCTTGTTTTCTTCATGTATGATGTCCTTGATGTCATTCCACAACTCGTCTGGTCTTCAGTCATTAGTGTTCAACAGATCAAATCTATTCCTGAGATGGTCTCTAAATTTGGGTGGGATGTACTCTGTTTTGTACTTTGGCTCTCGAAGACTTGCTCTAATTTTCTTCAGTTTCAGCTTGAACTTGCAGATGAGCAATCGATGGGGGCAATTGATGGTCTTTTCCATAGTTGGCCTCTGGCCTTGTTCTGACTGATGATATCGAGCTTTTCCATCATCGCTTTCCACAGATGTAGTCAATTTGATTCCTGTGTATTCCACCTGGCAAGGTCCTTGTTTATAGTCACCATTTATGTTGGTGAAAAAAGATATTTGCAATGAAGAAGTCGTTGGTCTTGCAAAATTCTATCACGCGATCTCCAGCATTGTTTCTATCACCAAGGCCATATTTTCCAACTACCGATCCTTCTTCTTTGTTTCCAACTTTTGCATTCCAATCACCAGTAATTATCAGTGCATCCTGATTGCATGTTCTATCAATTTCAGACTGCAGAAGTTAGTAAAAATCTTCAATTTCTTCATCTTTGGCCTTAATGGTTGGTTTGTAAATTTCAATAATAGTCATATTAACTGGTCTTCTTATAGGCTATGGATATTATCCTATCATTGACAGCGCTGTACTTCAGGATAGATCTTGAAATGTTCTTTTTGATGATGAATGCAACGCCATTCCTCTTCAAGCTGTCATTCCCAACATAGTAGACCATATGATTGTCAGATTCAAAATGACCAATACCAGTCCATTTCAGCTCACT